GTAGGGACAGCACGTGGACTGTGCAGTGCTGAGCGGCTGCGTTCTGCTGGAGCACGTCGGCCCTGCACGGCGTCCCCGGCTCACCGAGAACCTGGCACGTGCAGGCACGTCCCGCCCACCAGCCGTCTAGCTGGCCTGGCCCTCGGGGCCCGTGGCAGTGCCACCTCCCTGGAGACACCCGTGGCCTTGGCTCAGGGCTCCGCTCTGCTGCTCGGTGGAGGGAGGAGGGCTGTGGCCATTGGGGTGGGATGGCCTTATCCGTGGGCTCATCTGGCCTGAGCTTCTTTCCCAGGGGACCCGACCCCTGGGCCCCTGGGCCTATCCTGCCTCACACTAGGCGTGTGTGGATGGTGGAGCAGACGCCCACTCCGCGTGCGCTGGGCATTCCAAAACTGTTCTAGCCAGGAGAAAGGACAAGCAGTCAGGTTTGGGGTCTGGCCCTGCCCCAGCCCCCCACACACATCCCCTCTGCCCAGTCCACTCCTGCAGTGCAGCTTGGCCTTCTCGTCCCTGCCCCTGCCATCAGCAGAGGCTGGTTGTGGTCTCTGGCCCCTGCAGCCCTTCCTCATCTGACGTGGCCTTCACAGCTGCCAACGTCTCTGGCATGGCAGAGATCCCCCACCAGGCAGGAGCGCCTGTGGGAGAAAGGGGAAGAAGCCGTACGACATGGAGGCTCTGAGCAGGCCTCCGTCCCCGACAGCTCTCCCTGGTCACGTCTGCCCCAGGAGCCCCGGGCCAGGAGCTGCCCTCAGCCCAGGGACCAGACAGAGCCGCCTCGTCTGTCCTTGCCCCCAGCCGCTCATGCCCGCAGGGCCGCACGGTCTGTAACCGTGGTCTCTCCTCTTACAGGTGGAGTCCAGAGCAGGGCCTGGGCTGCCGGTGCTCCATGCCGCGCACGAGCAGAGGGGCTGCCAACTGTAAGTAGCTCTGGTTGCATTTTCCTGTGCAGCGTGGACATCCCCACTGGGCTGGATGTGGTTAGGGCCCAAGACGAGCCCAGCGTGGTCTCCATGTGGACGAGAGAATCCTTCCGCGGAGGGCTGAATTCGGTCGTGTCTGAGAGTGATGGGTGTCAGGCTCCGGCACAGCATGGACGCGATGCAGTGAGTGCGGAGAGGGAGGCCCAGCCACAGCCGTGGGCCAAGCCTGGAGGCCGGAGGAGGAAGGGAGCCCGGTCCCCAGCAGCCCGAGCTCACGGCTCACACTGGCTCCGTGCTGGGTACCTGTGGGGTGGCAGGGGGGGCACCATCGTCCGTCCCTGTCCCCGTGCCGGGCCGCCCTTGTGACGCTGGTCCTCTCGACTTGGCCAAGCCCACTCCTTGGGCTGCCGGCCTAGCTCCTGCCTTCCAGGAAGCTGTGGCTCCCCGCTGCCCACCCCCGGCAGGTGTGCTGTGCCCTCCGGCAGGCTGTGCTCCCGGAGGGGAGTCTGGGCAGGGCGGCCTCTGCACTGACTTGGGCCCCGGGCCCAGCGTGGCTGCAACTCGGAGAGGGTGTCGACTGCGACCACCCTGGAGTTAGAAATGATTAGCCGTGATCGGCACACCTCCCCTCTGTGTGAAAACAGACGGGCCGTCGTGAGCATCGGAATGAATCGTAAGAATGGCCGCCCTGCGCTCGCCGACGCCCTGCCGCTGCCTCTCTGGAGCTAGCGGGGCGCCGCGCTCCCCCTGACGGCTG